CGCCTTCCCCCCCGCCTGCCCTCCCTTCCCCCCCGCTCTGCTCGCCCGGCTTCTGTCCTCACCAACGCACAAAGTGCACGGCCGAGGATTTAAAGCGCAAGTATAGGCTGCCCAGCCTTCATTTCCTTCATTGAATAGCCCCTCCCTCGTCCAGGGGCTCATTCGCACCGCCCTGCGCGCGCCTTTGATGCGCAACGTGGACGCGCGCTGCCGTTTGCGCTTTTGGAACCCAATGCAACGCTTTTATATGGCACGTTGCAACGCATGGACCGGCATCGGCTACTCGCTGTCTGCTCTGCGCTGAGCCTGCGTTGATCAGCGCGCTGGGTGTGGACGAGCCGGTGGGGGGTCGGGGGAGGAGCCGATACACCTCCCGGGGATATTAGAGGATATTCCAGGCAGATTTTTATGTTGGGAATATTTCGCAACTCACCTGCGCGGCTGGTAAAGGTAAATGGGTCCTGAGACCCCTCGGTACCCCGCGGGGTTGTCACCGCATGATCAAGCGGAATCCAAGAACTTGAGTGATGTGCGGCAATTTTTGTGGGGCAATATACAGAAGAAAGTGAGGAGGGAGAGAGAGAGGAGAGACAGCCAGGGGAGAGAGGAGAGACAGCCAGGGGAGAGAGGAGAGACAGCCAGGAGAGACAGCCAGAGGAGAGACAACCAGGGGAGAGAGGAGAGACAGCCAGGAGAGAGAGAGAGCGAGGAGAGACAGCCAGGAGAGAGAGGAGAGACAGTCAGGGGAGAGAGGAGAGGAAGCCAGGGGAGAGAGAAGAGACAGCCAGGAGAGAGAGAGAGGAGCGACAGCCAGGAGAGACAGCCAGAAGAGAGTGAGGATAGAGAGAGAGGAGAGACAGCCAGGAGAGAGCGAGGAGAGACAGCCAGGAGAGAGTGAGGAGAGACAGCCAGGAGAGAGAACAAGGAGAGACAGCCAGGAGAGAGTAAGAGACAGCCAGGAGAGAGAGAGGAGAGACAGCCAGGAGAGAGAGGAGAGACAGCCAGGAGAGAGAGAGAGGAGAGACAGCCAGGAGAGAGCAAGGAGAGACAGCCAGGAGAGAGCGAGGAGAGACAGCCATGAGAATGGAGAGACAGCCAGGAGAAGGAGAGGAAAGACAGCCAGGAGAGAAAGGAGAAACAGCCAGAGAGAGAGAAGAGGGACAGCCAGTAAAACAAGCCATTAGAAATGCCATGGCTGAAGTGCATGTAGATGGGAAGCGGCTGCAAAGAGGCTGCAGGAGATCAGGATCACTGATCATTTTATGAAAAGAAAGAAACAAAATGTGGCAACGGTCTATGATACACAATGCTTTAAGGCTTTGATCTGCAATCCCCCCATACAGCAGAGCTCACACTCTCAGGGGAGAAACAAGCAGCACAAGGAGCCAATCAGTTGTGTTGCACTGCTCATGTGCTAAGAAGAGACATGCTGGTAGGCGGAGAGAGCAAAGTGACAGAGAGATGAGCTTATCAGTCTGCTGTGCAGTCACAGGCTGGTGGGGGGGAGGGACAAGAGCTGTAAGTGTTACTTAACTGCAGCAGAGAGACAGGCCTGTGCTGTGTGGCAGAGCTGTGTAAATCTCAGGACTGGATGGACAGAATGATAAAATAGATGTATTCACCTTTGTATTGAACTCTCCGGAATTCGGCTTTTGATGAAAGTGGAATACAAAGCTCCAGCAAACCTTTCCCGCACGGAGTTAATTTAAAGTTATGTTTGGGGGATTTTTCTCATCGTGCCGTTAAATGACGAGGGAATGGCATTGGGTTGTGAAACTGAACACTTCAGAGCGGGTTAAGCTGGCCGGTTTTCTCAGACCGGCGGCCGTGTTTGCGTGACTAAGTACATACAATTAAAGCCCAGCCGTCCCCGCTCTCTATGAACACATTGTTTGCCAGGGTTCAAGGGCTCAGATAATAGTCGGCGGGGACCCGGGACCCATCAGCGGCCCACGGGGGCAAAATGACCCCCCCCACCCCCACCATCAGCATTCATCTCCTATTTTCTCATGGTGTCGTTCAGGATGAATAATGATTTCATTATATAGGAACCATTCAGATCATTGAAGTCACCAGACGGAAAGTCATTTTAATGAATATAAATGAGACACCCAAATTTCTGAGCAGCTTTTCGGATGATTTTCGAAGGGAACACCGGCTTGGTGACCATGATATCCGGCGTATCATTTTGTACCGAGGTCATGTGATGAAAAATAAATAGACGTTCCATTTCAAACACAAGCTGGGTACAAACATGTTCATATATACAGCGGGAGGAATTTATCAAAACTGGAGCAAACAGAATCTGGAGCAGTTGCCCATGGCAACCAATCAGCATCTCTCTTCAGTTTGCTCAGGTAAGATTTGAAAATGAGAGAGAGAAGCTGATTGGCTGCAGTGCAAATCTGCTCCAGTTTTGATAAATTCCTCCCAGTGTGTATATATATATTTATATATAATCTGTCTTCATATTAGCTTCCGTCCCCTAGAGAGTAGGATTCGGACTAGGGGAAGGAGGACGTCCTGCAAGCCACTCAGACACTTTGTTGCATTGCCTGGCACTATAAGCCTTAGCCCTCGTTCACACCTGAACGTTTTGTAGCGCGTTCTACGCTCGACGAATGCTTTACAAAACGCTCAAACATGAAAATCCCATTGTATTCAATGGGTCTGGTTCACACCTTGGCGTATTTCAGCCCGTCCCTAACGCGCTACAAAACGGGCCACGCCTGAAAAGGTACATGTACTACTTTGGGCCGTTTTTGTTGCGTGTTTCCATTGGGATACAGCCAAGTAGCCCCCCGAAACGCGCGTTTGTCGCACGATTTTTTTACCGCGAAACACGTTAAAAAAACGCGCGACAGGCGCGCATATGCAATACGCCTAGGTGTGAACCAGGCCTTACACTTGGAGCCGGCCAAACTGTACGAGACAGAAGCATTGGCAGGATGATAGGAACTTCTGTTGCACTCTGCTATCTAACTGTGCCAGCAACAGGCTGGGGGCGGGGCCATGACCAGGCCGTATCACTTAAATGCGCTGCAGAAAAGATAGGTCACCAACCCGTCTGTTCTGTCTGCCAACAGAGTGATAAATCTTATGGCTGGTAAAATAGTGCAAGATATAAGTAAACACATTTGTAATGTCTTGTTAAATCTCTATCTGTATATATATATATATAGTGAATAGTGTACAAACTATGAAAACTCAAATAAATATATAATGTAGGTATATATATACTGTGTGTATATATATATATATATGTGTGTGTGTGTGTGTGTGTGTGTGTGTAAAAAATATATATTATTATTACTGTTAATATTTATTTAATTTTCTTTCTTAAAAAGTGAACTTTTTTTAATCTACATAACATTTTCATTCCCACCCTTGGCCGCCATAGTTTGCATTCGAACGGCTTTTCTGATTTATACAAATAAATTAGTAAGTGCGCTCGCAAATATTTTAAGTTTTTTTTTTTTTCTTCTCTCTTTTGTAGGGACAGCGCACACAAAATCCCTGAACACAGTCTAAGCAACTGTTGGAATGTTTGAGGTAGGAAACTTGACCTTTTAAAAACCAACATAATGAAAACAAAGAAAAGTATTGTCCATTCACGGTCATATGAATGACAACAGATTAATCACAGTCTCGATTCCACTATCTGGACTCCAAAAAATGTAAAGGAAAAATGTTAGGGGGGGAAGATAAAAAAAGAGCTCATTAGATGGATGCAGTTGACAAAAGTTATGAAGTGTAAACTCCTTAAAGTGATTTCAAAGATTGGCATTGAGTTATTCTTAAGGTGATTATAGCCGTATTTGTGTGTCCCCGCCCCGGAGATTTGTTGTCTTTGTAGATTTTTTATATTAACATGTAACATGTTGTTAAAGGAGAAGTACAGGGTCAGTGTTTTTCCCTATAGTTCTCCTTAGGGTAACGGGAGGACTCTAGTTGGTGTCCTCCCGTCACCCTAAGCTCAGTATACCGCAAGACACAATTATGTCTGGATCCGCCCAGCTGCGTGAGTGACAGCTGTCTCTGCCTGTCTAGAGGCAGAGCCAGCTGTACCCGCCCCCTCCCCCGTCCGTTCCGCCAGTCAGCGCTGGAGGATCAAAGCGGGGAGGGGGGAATCCAGTCTCATTGTCACAGGTTGGCTAGAACTATGAGGTGAGTGAAATGCACTCCCCTCATAGTTCTCCTTTAAGCTTTTGTGCATCAGTATTGCTGACCGAGAGGAAGGGAGTAGAAGCCACCAAAAGCTTGTCCTGAAAATGTAACAATGCAAATAATAAAGTATCACAGACAGTACTCAACTGCAAAGCATCAGCAACCTGTCTACCTGTATTTTACATGGATAAATATATTTGATACTGTGAGATGTTTTTTAGTTGCTGCCGCCCAGTGTTACAGGTTGAATATTGTAAAGGAAACCTTCATTGGTAATCTCTGTTAAAGGGAAAGCTGCAATGTGTTAGTGTGCACATCATTTTAATGCATATAATATAACATAGTTACATAGTATTTGAGGTTGAATAAAGACACAAGTCCATCAAGTCCTACCTGTTGCGTGTATGTGTGTGATTTTGCAGGTGTTTGCGTGTGTATGAGTCCATGTGTGATCTTGCTCTTAGCAGTACCTGTACCCCTGTATGTTACGGTCTCCAAAGAAATCATCCAAAAGCTTTTTGAATGATTCCACACTCTTAGCTGAAATCACTGCATGTGGCAGCGAGTTCCAGACCCTAGCCGCTCTAAATGAAAAGAACCCCCTTAGCCCCTTGTGCTGAAATCTGTTCTCCGCCAATTTTAGGTGGTGGCCTCTAGTCTTTGTTATGGAGTTAGCTGTTTGTTACTGATGTTACTATCACCATTGAATATCTTGTACATGAAAATCATGTCCCCCCTTAATTAACTAATTAATTGCAATGTTTACCTTGAAGTTATTTTCAACTTTCATATTTTATATTTCTAAAGTTCCATATTTCCACATTACGTACACTATATGGCCAAATGTTGATCGACACCTGACCGTCACAACTATATGAGCTTGTTGGACATCCCAATCCAAAACCATTAATATGAACATTGGCAGCTAAAACAGCCTCAACTCTGCATTTGTGAGGTCAGCTGCTGATGTTGTATGAGAAGACCTGGTGAGGAGGAACTTGACTTGAACCTGAACTCAACCCCATTAACCCTTTCGCTGCCAAGGACGTATGGCATACGGACCTACAAAAGTGCTTCCAGCTGGCCAGCTCAGTATGCCATACGGACACCTTTTCGGATCAATTAGATGGTTAACTACAAGCCAGGCCACCTATGTGAGCTAGTTGGACATCCCATTTCAAAACCATTAATATGGAGCCCCCAACCACCACCACCTTGGCAGCCTTAACTCTTCAGGGAAGGCTTTCTACAGGATTTTGGAGAGTGTGTGAATGTGAGCTCATTCAGGCTAAAGATCATTTGTGAGGTCAGGTTCTGATGTTGTATGAGAAGACCTGGTGAGGAGGAACTTGACTTGAACCTGACCTCAACCCCATTAAACACATTTGGGATGAATTGGATGGTTAACTACAAGCCAGGCCACCTATGTGAGCTTGTTGGACATCCCATTTCAAAACCATTAATATGGAGCCCCCAACCACCACCACCACAACCTCGGCAGCCTCAACTCTTCAGGGAGGACTTTCCACAAGATTTTGGAGAGTGCCTGTGGGAATTTGTGCTCATTCAGCCTAAAGAGCATTTGTGAGGTCAGGTACTGGTGTTGGATGAGAAGACCTGGCTCCCAACCACCATTGTATTCATCCCATAGTTGTTCAATAGCATTGAAAAGGACACTTGAGACTCCACTTTAAACTAATCAAACCATGTCTTTATGGAGCTGGCTTTGCAGTCGTCCATCAAGAGTTTGAAGCATGCCTGTGGGAAGTTTTTTCCTTCAGCCAAAAGAGAATTTGTGAGGTCAGGTACGACCTGGCTCATAGTTAGCATTCCAGTTCATCCCAAATGTGTTCAGTAGGGTTGAGGTCAAGGCACTGTGCAGGACACTTCCTCCGCAACAAACTCATCGAACCATGTCTTTATGGAGCTGTGTTTGCACTCAATTTACTAATATGTCTTTGTATGCTGTAGCATTGACACTACCCGTTACTGCAAAGACCTGCTGTGCCCATTATGAGGAGCTTCCACCATCCTTGTGCTGAGTTCTTGGGTCTGTACACCTGCTGTGCCCATTATGAGGAGCTCCCACCATCCCTGTGCTGAGTTCCCGGGTCTGTACACCTGCTGTGCCCATTATGAGGAGCTCCCACCTTCTCTGTGCTGAGTTCCCAGATCTGCATACCTACTGTGAACATTACTAGGGGCTCCCACTTTCCCTGTACTGAGTTCCCGGGTCTGTATCCCTGCTGTGCCAAATATAAGGAGCTCCCCCATCCCTGTGCTGAGTTGCTGGGTCTGCATACCTACTGTGCCCATTATAAGGAGCTCCCACCATCCCTGTGCGAGTTCCCGGGTCTGTACACCTGCTGTGCCCATTTTTAGGGGCTCCTACCATCCTTGTTTGGAGTCCCTGGGTTTGTACACCTGCTGTGCCCATTATGAAGAGTTCCCACCATCCTTGTTCTGAGTTTTTTGGATTATACACCTGCTGTGCCCATTATGAGGGGATCCCACCATACCTGTGCTGAGCTCCCGGGTCTGTACACCTTTTGTGTCCATTATGAGGAATTCCCACAATTACCTGCTGGATATTTTTTAATAATGTTATATTATCGAAAATGTAAGAGGAGAAGAGCTGAAACACTAGAGCTGGCCACAGACACTGACCAGAAGAAGGGCCTTATATCTTTAATACGTGGTCATCCTTAAAATGAAATAATTATTTGGAAATGTGATATGAAAGATATGTAAGGGGGGTTGCCTCCTATGAAGCCAGCTCTGTGGAACACACAAATCTTACCTAAGATTTTAGTAATTATTGGATCTACGTATATTTTAGCATTTTCGATTTACTACTAAACCTGCATAGCAACGCTTTTGTCAACTTTAAAAAATAATTCCCTTTAATCGTCAATCCAGCCTGTCGTACCGGCCCTTTAAAATTTGCTACTTTCGGTAAACAGATTGGCTTGCTAAAGAATATTTAAAGTTTTGTAGAAAATTAACTCCCAACCGCGCTTAAAGAGAAAAAAAAAATTCCCCTTAGACAAAAATAAAAAAAATTATGCGGGCCTTAGTGGTGGCTGAAGAAAAATGGAGATAGCTTTCGTATACTTGTGCGTTTTATAGGCATTAATGTTGCCGTAAATCTCGTGTTATTGTACGGCGCCTGCAACATTTTTCCTGCGTTTTGCCTTTGGACAGGGAAGAAATGACTGGCTTCCATCAGTGTTATTGGCAATACCCATATTCTGACATCTGTTCCTTTCTAAACATTTTACCAACCTTGATGAAATGTGTTTTAGTGGTAGAAGCTGACTTAGAGGGGAAAAAAAAAAAAAAAACACCTTTGGATGATAAAAAATAACAGTGATTAAACACCAGCAGCAATTTGCCTGCAAATCTCGCCGTTCTGAAGGCGGCTGCCGTTTTCTGTTGGAGAAAAATTAGCTATCTTCTGCTAATCTTAATCATGTTTACACTTCAAACTAGGCTAAATATACGGCTTATCGAAAAAATAAATAAATATAAAAAAGACATGCCTGTGTTCTTGGCAGTTGGGTCTTATATATTCCGTCTTTATCTCGCCGTTACAGCGATACTTATTTTTCATACGTTCGCGGAATTGTTTCAAATGGCTGAGAAAGTCCCCACAGCGGTTACATTAGACTGCCGTGCCATTAGCTTTATGTCCTATGCTTTCCCTGTCTGGGCACCGATGTGATCCAATCCAATATAAATTGTATAGTGATGTGCAAGTCCCTGGTGTATTGGGCGGTTGTATTCCAAATATCCTCTTATTGTTCTCTTTGCTAATATATCTTCTTTCTGTCGTTCTTCCTTTCCTCTTCCTTTCTTCTTTCCTCCTGTTGCCCCTCTCTTTCTTTTTTTCCTTTCCTTCTCCTTCCATTCTTGCTGTCTTCCTGTCTTTCTTCTTCCCTTTCTTCCCCTCCTCCTTCCTTTATTCCTTTATTTCTTCCTTCCCTTTCTTGCTTTCTTTCTTCTGCCTTTCCTTCCTCCCTCCCTCCCATCCTTTCCCTCTTTGTTCCTTACTTTCTTATTTCCTCCTTCCTTTAAGCCCTGCCTTCTTTCCTTTCCCTTCTTTCCTTCCTATATCCCTTTCCCTGCTTCCTTCCTTCCTTCTCTTAATCAGCACTTTTTGGAAGTCACTCTTCTCCTGCACACAGTGCCGATAGCCATACCCTCTCCACTCCTCTGCTGCTAATATTGCCCACATTCATACCCGCTGCACTCCTATCCTAATCAGTCCTTATGCACTCCTCTCCTGCACAATGCTCACTGCCATGCCCTTCACATTCCTTTCTTGCACACACTGTCTATCACCATACCTTCTGCACTCTTTTCCTGCATCTACTGCCTGCCCT